AACTTTTACTTGTGCGTGGACCTTAAGGCGTTTAATATAGGTAGGTAAAGGATAGAAAAAAAGGTTACAATACCCTATGTGCTCCATCGTTATTTAGCTGCAGATGTCAAATGCAGATATGACCTAAACACAGAACTTAAAGTACACAATCAAATTTTATAACTGCACTAGATGAACGAAGTCTTTGTTAACGGCTACCTACTTGACCAAGTCATAATAGTCAGCTGAGACAAATTGATTTCGACTATGCTAAATTCTAGGGACGACAACCCTGTCCTATTCGCTATGGACTCTAAAACCCGATATATTAGTACTAGCTTACCTTTGTAAAGACGCCTTAAACAATTTATATTCCTTTTACATTAGCTAGGCTAGTTAAATGTAATGAAAAGCCAACACAAAGGTGTTTTTTAGTATTAACTTTGGTTCTAACTACAAAAGTAATGATAAGTTAAAAGGATTTATTTGGCAGTCCGTCAGTTTTGTTTTGAATAATGTTGAAGAAAAGATGTTTTAAGGTGTCAAAGAAAAGAGATCGGTTTGTTGGTGAGTTAAGGTTTACATTACTTTGAAAGAATATACGAGTAATATTAGGTCAAAATTAAATAGCATTACACTAGTTAACAGCTTTGACAGGGTAACCGGTTATATATATAACAAAGAAAATCTCATAAGTATTGCACTCAAAAAAAGGTTACCTAACCACTAACTCTAACTAGTATCACTACTTAAATTAAAACCAATACATCTTTCTACGATTTGTTAATCGTGATAAAAACTAAAACTCATGAAAATTCAATATATGTATGTACCAATTTTTCAGAGTAGGTAAAATAATATTATGATCATCGGTACTAAGGGAATTACGTTAATTGGAGAGACTAAGAAAGCATTTATAAACATTACAAAAAAGTTCATAGCTTCTATGGATATGAAACGAACAATACGAAATATAGATTCCTTGTTAAGTTTACCTACAATGTATTTAAAAGTTCGCTCTATGACCTTATCATTAAGGTATCAGATGCATTTTCATTACAGCTGTTCATTACGTGGACTTAGCTACCAATGACACACAATTAATGTAACCGGACATTAGGGACGCCACACATTATGAATTGGGCAGGATAAATCCTGGATACTCGTAAAAATATGTCACAGAAGTAAAATTAAAACTAACTTTCTAATAAGAATTTGAAATAAACCGTATTATTATAAAACTTACCTAAAAGACTTAAAACTTACTAAAAATCATTCGATTTCAGGTTATTGATGCTCTCTATACCTAAAAGACAATGTTTGAAGCTACATATTTAATTAATCTATTATTAAGTGTGTAAATAATATTTATTATCAAAAATCCTTAATCCATGGTAGCCCTAGGTGAGGAGGGCGGGTGCGGATATACGCGTTAATTGCGAGGCCACCGTGCCCATAGATCGATCGACACCATTGTCGAACTCCGACCATCGTGTCGCGGGCCCCATGGATCCAACCATAGGTATAGCTAAACCAACTGTTGCCATGAAAAGTGCAGTTTTATCTTTTAGATAGAATATAAAATAAAGTAATTGTTTTTTTTATTTACAATTATTTGCAACATGCTGGTTTACAGCTTAAAGTAATGATACAGCCGTTGCAATAAAGTTAACATGTTGTAAAACATGGTCTAACTAGAATAAAACAAATCTTATTAAACAAAATGACTAAGTTTGTGCAAGATAAAATTAAATTTTACATCCAAATATTTTACAATATCGCCGTCGTTTGAAAAACTAGTTAATTCCGCTCTGAACACACATTAATAGTTTTCATAAAAGTTTTATAAAGATATTTTTGTCTTGGGAACACTAAAACCTAAAAATACTCCTTTATTATTATGTCTAATGCACAGACATAGCTTTCCATTCCAAACTTTTCCACAATTTGAAACACTATTAAAACGTCATTGGAAAAAATCTTGGACTGTTAAAATTCCATAGAGTGGAAAAAATTGCGTGGAGAACCTACTCCTATTACTAGGATTCGTTTGAGTTTGATTAGAGAGGTTAACAGGTGGAAATGTCCTATATGCAGATTGCAGAGTTTTACTTAATTTGTGGTATAAAAATGAGACAAAATATACGTTTCATGTCCTTCATCGCGAGTGATTGCTTCTGTGGTTTTCTAGATAGGAACATCATTTACCGACAGTTAAAATTTAAAGAGACGCAAACGTAAATAAAGTAATTATGACCAAAAGTAATTAAATTACAAATCGTGAGCCTCACCTCAAAAGTATTCTAGACGGACAAATACGTCTTGAATTCTTGATATCTCATTTATAGCAACAAATGCACAATAACCCCGTGATGATACTAACGAGTGGTGTTTTATAAAGATAGCGGGCGTCGTAAAATATAATAATTTTACGTATGTTAATATATAATAGGACAGTAAAGCCAGCCAAGTGAGACGCGGTAATGGACGTGTGGCAGGGCGGAACGGCGTGTTAACAGCCATAGGTCTTGTACCAAGAAGTTTTAGCGTTCAATTGTTCAATTGTCGTGGATTCTTACAAAGATGTTTTATTGAAATTTTTTGATTTGCAATTTGAGCTCAAGTTAAACGATTAAAATATTTTGGGTATATTAATCTAACTGTTTTGCAAAGATATATAGTATATAGACGTATTCGTAGATCGCAAGAATTTTATGCCAAGATTTTTTGCTGATATTATTATTCAGAATTAAATACGATAAATTTGCATTACCCATAACATTGCAGCAAGCTACGTGCGTAAGTAGTTGTGTATCTTGCCATTCAATAAACTAAATCTTGACATGAAGAAAGTAAGCGAATTCCAAGTATAGCTAATAGCCGATTTGAAGAAAGGTCTTAATTTTTAAACACAAAACGTTTCAATACAAATTTTAAAACGAATTTATTGGCAAATGCTGCAACTAAAATGTCGACTCAAAGAAAACGTAATAAGCATTATGTCACGACGAAACATAAGACAAAAAGTTATACAGACCTACATCAGTAATTCGTGTATGACATGACAGGTGCAAATACTCAGCCTACGTTACCAAAGTTTACTAAGAAAACGTGGAACTCAAATTATATTGAAACACGATTAATCATTAAAGGAGATGATACATGAATTAGGCGAATTGGTAAAATAAGGTAACTTAAAATTGTTCTACGTTTAACATTAGCAAATAATGTTAGAAGAACAACAACCAATACGTTCTGGGTACAATAAGGAATGATTCATAATTAAATGATTAGTAATTAATATTTTACAGGTATTGTATGGCTTAAAAATATAACAATCTGGTAATGTCATTGATTTTCCTTGTATTGCAATTTCTGCGACATTGGCGTAATTTTGATATTATGCAAAAACTGCTGGAATGATTTCGTGGAAATTTGGTAATACCCTGGATTAACACATAGGCTTTTTATCAACATACCACGTGGGTGAAGCTGGGATGGAAGGTAGTATTCAATAAATCACCGGAACGAGATATAAATCAATAGTTTTGACAATAAAGCAGTAGCCAAAAGTTCATGTAAGAGATCGCAACTGGCAGCGACAAGTCCGAACTAGAGCGTGCAATGACGTCACCCCATTGAGTCCCAGCCGCAACGGATCATCAGTTTATCATTATTGAATTTATATCTTTATACTCATTTTTATTTTGTACGTATCATCGAAATTTTATAAAACGAACAGAATTTTTTTGGATAATTTAGACGTGCAAATTAATAGTTTTTCTTTATTTTTTTATAAATATTACAAATATTTAAGGTCATTCTTATCAGCCTGTGTTTTAATTGATTCCATATTCGATGGCTGATGACAAAAATTTCGGGCACCAATGCAATGTGATTAGGTCTTTTATTTCTGTGTGTATTTTTATGAAACACGTGGTTTTGTGGTCTCAGTGAAGCGTTTGAAATTAGTTGAAGTGTTTGATTTTATTTTATACTTTTTTCTCATAGTGTTATCTTAGCGAGCTTAAGTCTTGTTTTTTTTTTGAAATGAGTATTTTTTGATGCAACTGTATTCAGAAAGTTTGTGAATCTGAACCTTTACGATAAAGAGCGCACAAAAAGAAGCAATTTTATGGTAATTAGATCATCGTCTTTAAAGATTTCAATTAATTTTACCACGAAAACTAAGTGATATTCGTCGCACGAAAATTATACCAATTGGCGAGAGTATCGGTTCCGTGGTATCTCGTCCCACTAACAGTGGAAAAGCTTCGCGAAATGATATTAGTATAAAGATAAAGTTGTCGTACTCACAAATTACAATTAGGTAGGCTATAATTTATTGCGCTGTTGTGTTCGATCGGCCTATGTTCTACGTTGCTTCTTTGTTTTATGTAGTGTTCTACTTAAAAAATAATTTCGTACCCATTTCGTAATTTTTGAATCTCATCTCATTTTTTCGTGTTTCATTTCATAAACAAAATGTGTCAAGGATTTGTCAAGAAAAACAACTTCATGGAACTGGAGGTGGTTGTGTTTCATAACATATTTTCATTTTACTCACAGCGAATGATGTAAGTAAAGTTTAAGTTTCGCTTGTGTTATCTGTTTCCTATCCACCTGACCGCTTATGAAGGGTGCATAAATGAGGTCCGGCTTTGTACGAGTAAGTGGCATGCGCTTAGTATGTTTTGCAGCCGACCACGTTTGCCGACCACTATTCACTGCTGAGCCTAAAATGGACTCATAATGGCTACTTGTTCCTACGATACACCTGCTGTCATCGCATATTTGCTGCCAGTATTATTCGTTTTAAAGTTCTATGTACGGCTAATGATATATTCACGAATCGACGCGACTTATTATAGCATGCATGATCACATGGAATTTGATAGAACGTTTGATCGGAAATTGAATTAAAAACTGTGATATCGGTATACCTTTGTACGTGTCTTCAAGTTCCATATGACCGCGCGGCTCGCATCACACCACGTCCTAATAAAACACTGTTCACTCACTGTAACCCGGCTTGTAGACAGCACGAATCCTCTTAACCAACTTGCCGGTCCTCTTGATGGGCGGGCCGAGGGCGACGGCGGAGTGGCCGCGCCTCTCGGCGAACACGATATAGTTCCGTCTATTTTTCAGAGGCACTTCGAAGCGACCCGAGCAGTCGAGGTGGTCGGGCGGCAGCTTGAGGCGGATGACGGCGTTCTCGTGCGGCCAGTGTCCCTGGTGGCGGAAGACGCGCTTGATCTGCACGGTGGCAGCGTCTTTGGCGAGCGACTGGACGCGCGCCTCGAAGGCGGCCGGCGCGCGGTAGGCGCGCCAGGCGACGTCGGCGCGGTCGCAGTAGAGGCGGCGCGGCGCGGCGAGGGCGGCACAGCACAGGGACAGCAGAGCCCACAACGCCGCGCGCCTTTCTGTCTTCATCGCGCCATCGCAACAGCGCTCGGTGACTCCCTGCTCGTTCGCGGTGCGCCTATGTTCTCCCGAGAGCGGTCGGCGCGCGACTGGCCCCGACTGAATCATTCCCCGCCCACACCGAAATAGTCGCGGTACGGACCGAGCACGCGTCGCTAATTTATCTCGTCTGATGATTAATTTGCGCTTGTTATATGTAATTAGTGGGTACCGTGTCGATTGTTTGATTGGGCAGCTATTGATTCAGGTTCAGTGAAAGTTTTCACTATGAAAATAAGTTTGAGTAAAAGTTTTATTCAAACTTTATTATTATTTGATTTTTTAATTCTTTTAAATAAATTGTTTCTTTTATGAAATTGAAGCACTGTAAAAAGAGTTAGTTACTAGTCTATTAATGTTTTTATGTATGAAAATTGGCCTGAGAGGACGCAGCCCGTGTCGTCTAGTACCTAATAAGTTGTTACCCACTGTAGCCGAGATTTTCAACTAACGACTTTCGCTTCGTAGCGATGTCTACGGAGACGGTGTAGCGCCGCGCGTAGACGTACCGTAGCTTTGACCTCAAGCGTAGACTCGCGACCTTGTTGCTGTGCTTCAAAATATGCATTATCCTTATCACTGGTGTATTATTTTTCTTATCACTTACCTAATTAAAGTCGAAAGTTTTAATATTTTTTTGAATCTAACAGAAAAAAATTACGGCGTTATTGTTTCCAGTTTTAATTCTTTTAGAATTGATATTTATGGTCCACTTTAAAATAAATTTTCCTTAATCAAATCGTCTATATGTAATTCACTTAGTAAGTACCTAATACGTGCTATCTAAAACATATCTTAATAAATGTCAGCTGATCTGTTCACTTGGTGCAAGCACAGTTTCTTTCAGCGTCTGAACATTTTATGACGTATTATTACAATGTAGTGTAAAATCACAATTTATATTCCGATTATTAAATAAGCCAACAATTTTTGATCAACATAAAGCACACGTTTGAAGAGAAACTGATAATATTTCTCTAAGATCTGCAAGGGAGCTATTAACTATTCCCTATTAGCAGTAATTCATTTATAAACGAATGCCGCCTTCACACCGTGACGCACGTGCTTCTCTCAATAGTAAACGACAAAAGGTAAGTTCCGGCCACCAGGGACGGACGTTTTTGTATTCGATGTAAAAAAAATTGTGCCCTTTTAATATCGGGTTCTGTACTATGTAAATTATAAGTTTGTGAGACAGCAGATCACTAATAGACTAGAAACGTAATAAAATATACGTGAAAGTATAGAATTATATTGTTTTTAATATAATTTATGTATTTTATTTTGTATGCGATGTGAAAATATTGATGTGATAAGAAGGTGAGAATAGATCTATATAATAATTATATAATATAATTTTAAAGACCCAAAGATTTCTTCGAAACTGAGTGAATAAAAAAAAGTTTTAATGTTTTAACGTTATAATTTATATACTTATTTTTATATTACGCTCCTCTACAAATAACAAATCAGTTGCGTCGCCAAGTCTAAAAAAAGAACAAAATAAAAGGGTCGGTTTACAATCACGCTTCCAAAAGACCCCTAAAGGAGCGGTCATTCATAACCAGGATGAATGAGATCACCTACCTGAGAGTGCAATCACCGAACAACAACATAGTGTTCACACTGTTTACCTTTTTTTATCTTTTCTTACCGGATGTGAGGCAATTGGTCTCAACACCGTTAGGTCTCAATCATTCATTCTTCCTGTGGGAAACGAAGATCCTGATTCCAGGTATTACGGATGTCGATCGGAAGCCTTAAATATGGTCTATTGTTATTCATGTATTTAAAACTTATAATCTTGAATATTGTTTGTCGATTGTTGTCTTACAAATCTGCGTAAGAAATCTGACAAGGGATGTTTCCGATGTGTGGTAGCACTTCTAATGGATTGTAAAAGACAGGTAGTGTAGACAATAGTTCCATTTCTATGTGCTTGGGATTGGATCGGAAACGTCCATAAGATTATATATAAAACCAATAAGTAATTTTATTTAAAGAAATTTTGTACAATTAAATTGTCTCAAATATGTAATAAAATAATATATTTCGCCTAATAATGTTGTAGGACATTAATAGGAGGAAAGTTTATCGCAAAGGGATGCAAAAATGTCTTTTTAATACGTTTTCTTTTTTACTAAATACAATACCAAGATCTTTACTTTAAAGTTACTATATGATCAGAAAAAGTAATATTAATAGCTTGATTAAAATAAAAAATGTGCTGTGTTATAAAAAACCCAAACTAATAGAAAGCAATTAGAGAAATCACAAAAAAATATCAGGTCCGCCGCACTCATCCGACAAAAATGGGAATTTCTGCCAAATCCGAAACATGTGTTACAAAATCTACCTTACAAATAGTTGGTCCTAAGCCTTACTAATTACTTACAGGTGGGGATATCCTTTGCAACAAAACCCCTGAAACTGTTCAAAGGTTTTTATAAAACAATAATATCCAGCTTTAAAGGTGTTATAAAAGCGTATTGTTTGACAACACGTGTTTGTAATTACTGTTGTGGGAACGCCAAAAACAATTGTTTGGCAAAAACCCGTTTTGTTTTGTTTTTATGCTCTTTTATTTTGTAAAGATTTCGATGCATTCATTGGAGTCACTGTGTATTCTTGTACTTGTGTAGATTGTTGGTTTTATTTTTATTTTCCTTCGATTCTGACGTTTTCTCGGAGTTTTTTTTGATGCGTTTATTCGCCTTTATTTTTAAAAGGTATTTATTTAGTTGTGTATTTTTCAATCTTTAATAGGACAATTATTCCATTATATTATACGTATAAAAACACATGGTTTTCAGGCACTTACCGAAGCTCATGTTACTTCAATTAATTACGCAAGTTTATTAATGACTTTTACCTCAAATCAAAACCTCACAGTACTTACTTAAGGAAACCTCAATAAAAGTCTCGAGTTCGCGTAAAATTGTCCAGATGGTCGAATTTCGTGATGTCTTCATTGCAGCCTGCCCGCGGTAGTAAGTCATCTTAATGCAAAAATGACAAAATAAATTATAATGTTGGTGCGCGCGCAAAACGCTAACATTCGGTGGGCGAGTGCGGGTGAAATGTGGCTCTACTTGATGTTATAATAAAGTATTTTGATGATGTCTAGACGTCGTCTGGCAGTGGAGGATCATAATATAAATCTAGATGGAGAATGTGCTTATGCTTAGATATTGTCGTAAACCAGACAGACGTATGGACCTGAAACTATATCAATAAAAAATGGTATTTTGTTCGTGGATATCGGAGTGTTTCAACGATGTTACCGGAAACTAGTAGGTGTACTACTAAAACTTAATAATCAAGGACTTTATAATACTAGATTTGAATCCCACACTTTCCAGACAATTAAAATCCTTAAACCCCAGGTATTTGACCTAGACCAAGATGTGAGCTTATAATTAAAATAACTAAGATTATATCTAGATATGTGAGTTAATTAAGAAATATCTATCCTAGAATAGAGGTTTTACGAATCTATTTCGGTGGGTATTTGTAAAATTGTTTGTAACAAATTTTATTAATTACTGAAGGAATTTTAATAGTGCAAAATTAGGTAAAACTGTTACTCATATATTATTAAACCATTTTATTTCAATTATATTATTTTCATTGTTAATAAGTATCTTCTATTTTTGTACTATCATTTTTTTCGGTTCATCACGCCTTAGTCAATTTAGTGATAGATTAATTTGTTTACTTTTAAATAACTGATTACCTACCTACGAATCAGAGAGCATGTAGAGCTACCTCCCAGCATCAATATCTCGGCTGGCCACCCTCAGTGACGTTCGTTTCTCGTTAACCGTATAATTGTTTAAATTGTCATAATTTCGCCCGCATAATGTTGCCACATAAATATTTATTTATCGGCCCACTACTGATAACCAAATTGCTGATGACCACCGCTCCTCACTTGATTTAAGACCTTCGTAACTGTTCTGTTTTTATTGTGGGAACACGTTATTTAATGTTGAATCAAAATCCAAATAAGTAGCTAAGAATATAATGAATTGCATTTACCCATATCCTAGTCGTTACAAAGTAGCAACGTAAGCTTGGTTCTGGTATCTAAGCATGAAAAAGCTGATGAAATATTACGACATCATTGAATATTTATTACCTGGCTTAGACATAACGCGTCGTTTCTGAAATCTTAAATCAATCATAGATACAGTGGCCACTAAGCCATTTAATTGTTTCTGGTTACGAGTTACAAAAACACGTGTTTCGAGAAGACAACAGATTCAATACATGTGCCATATGCAACCATAATTACTTATTTGGTTTAAGACCATGATTTTCTTTAATCAGCAGCTTATATTAATAAAAATACTATTTGTCCTCATATTATTCATATTCTAGACACAATCTAAGTCATCATTATGCCAAAATTTTAGTTACAACTAGCAACCTGGTCGCTAGACCAACAGTTGTTGGTCTCACCTTTTAAACCGTCACTGGACTTCCACGAATAATTCAAAACCAAAATTAACCAAATCAGTAAAGACATTGTTGAGTTATAACATTTCGACAACGAAAAGTGACATTGATTTTTACATACTCGTATACAGATATAACCAAACTTTTGCCTGAAAGAAGCAAATACGAAGTTTCACATTTAAAACTAGAAGGATGGTACACGTTAATGTACTAGTTAGTCCTAGATAGTGTAGCATAGAAACAAAATGATTTGTATCACCACCTCTAGTTAGTAAGCAGAGCATCATCGGCCGCCAAAGTAGCCATCGGTAGGTCGCGTGTGGTTTATTTCTCTCGCGCCCCGGAGTAAATATAACTCGCATGTTATGGGTGTTACCACTACCATGTGTTCTCGATCGTACCCGTACAGTTTTTGTTATGGTAGGTACTTAGAAGTTTTAGCGTATACGGTTTGACGTTTCACCTATTCAAATTTAAGGAAAATATCGATTTAACTTTTAACGTCGCAACCACAGAAATTAGGAACTTTAACTTAAACGAATAGACAATGAAATAATTTTTAAATGCTCAGATGTCATTTTTTT